TTGAATTTCTCTCCATTTAGGATGATATTGCTTGTGGGCTTGGTATAAATTGCCTTTATTATGTTGAAGTATGTCCTTTGTATCCCTAGTGTCTCTAGCACTTTTATCAAGAAGGAATTTTGGATTTTTGTCAAAGACCTTTTCTTTGCAGCTAAAGATGGTCATGTGATTTTTGTCTTTCAGTCTGTTTATGCAATGTTTGCATTTATTGATTTACGTATGTTGAACCATTCTTGGATCTCTGGGATGAAGCCAACTTGATCGTGATGGATAATCTTTTTGTTGTGTTCTTGGATTTGGTTTACAAGTATTTCATTGAGAATTTTTGTGTCTAGATCATAAGTGATATTGGTCTGTAATTTTCTTTCTTTGTTGGGTTTTTGTGTGGTTTTGGTATCAGGGTAGCAGTGGCTTCATAGAAAAAAATAGGAAATATTTCGTCAGTTTCTGCTTTGTAGAGTAACTTGATGAGTGTTGGCATTCTTCTTTGATGATTGGGTAGAATTCTGCACTGAATCCATCTGGCCCTTGGCTTTTTGAGGGAAGGGGTGGATTTTAATTGCTGCATCTATTTAACTGGGGGTTATGGGTCTGCTGAGCTGCTATTTCATCTTATTTTAATTTTGGTAAGACAGAGGGATCAAGACATCATCCATTTTTGTAAGGTTTCCCAGTTTGGTAGAGGACAGGTTTTTAAAGCATGTCCTTTGGATTCTCTGAATTTCCTCACTGTCTGGTGTAACATCCCCTTTTTCATGTCTAATTTTATTAACTTGGAACCCCTTTTCCTGCCTTTTGGCTAATTTGTCTAAATGTTGTCAATCTTGATTTTCTCAAAGAGCCAACTCTTTATTTCTTTGATTCTTTGTATATTTTTGTCGTTTTTGTTTCATTGACTTCAGCCCTGAGTTTGATTATTTCTTTTCATCTACTCTTTTGGAGTATTATTTCTTCTTGATTTTTTCAGTTTTCAAATGTGTCATAAAGTTATTAATGTTTCCCAGGTGGGTTTTTGTTTGTTTTTTGTTTTTGCAGGCATTTAAGAATTTGCATCTTTGAGAATTGAGATGTTGCGTTTTCATTGTTTTTAATGTCCTTCTTGATTTCTGTCTTGACTCAATTTTCATTCAGTAGTGAGTTGTTCCGTTTCCATGAGTTTGTATACTTTCTGTCATTTCTATTGTTGTTACTATCTAGCTTTAATCCATGGTTGTCAGGTAGGACACAGGATGCTATTTCAATTTTCCTGTATCTGCTAACACTTGCTTTGTGTCCTAGTATGTGGTCAATTTTGGACCATGGGATGCTGAGAATAAAGCATATTCTTTAATGTTTGGGTGGTGGAATGTTCTGTAGATATGTTAGGTTCATTTGTCTTACAACGTTATTTAACTCCAGCATTTCTCCATCTATTTTTTTGTCTGGATGACCCATCTAGTGATGAGAGTGGGTATTGAAGTGTCAGGGTCAATATGTAATTTTAGCTGTAGTAGTATTTCTTTTACAAACTTGGGTACCCTTGTGTTTGGTGCATGAATGTTTAGAACTACAATATCCTCTTGGTGGATTTTTCCTTCGATGAGTATGTAATTTCCCTCCCTATCTCTTCTGATTAGTTTTGCTTTGAAATCTATCTTGTTAGTTATCAAAATGGCTACACCTGCTTGCTTCTTGGGTTGATTTGCTTGGAATACCTTTTTTCTACCTTTCACACTACAGTGATCTCTATTCTTGATGGTGAGGTGTGATGGATCCTGTCTTCTAATCCAGTATGTTACTCTATGTATTTTATTGGGAATTGAGACCATTAATATTGAGTTATTAATGAGCAGTATTTATTAATTTCCATTCATTTTCTGTTAGGATTTGGATTTACACCTCACTCCTCTTTTGACCGACTGTTCTGGAATTATCAATCACTTATGTCTTCTTGTGTGTAGCTAACCTTCTCTTCAGGCTGAAATTCTCTTGCTAGTGCCTCCTGTGGAGTTGGATTAGTAGACAGAAATTGCTTAAATTTGTTTTTAGTCATGAAATGTTTTTCTTTCTCCCTCTATTATGATCAATAGTTTGCTCAGAAGATTAGCCCAGACTGGCATCTGTGGTCTCACAGCATCTGTAGAACATCCATATAGACCCTCTGGCTTTTCTCCATTGAGAAACTGAGTGTTACTCTGAGTGTTTGTATGTGACTTTGTCTTTTTCTCTTGCAGCTTTTAATGTCCTTTTTGTTTTATACATTTAGTGTTTTGATTGTTATGTGTCATGGGGCATTTCTTTTTAGTTCTGTCTATTTGGTGTTCTGTATGTTTCTTAATAGGCACCTCCTTCTTTAGATTGGAGAAATTTTCTTCTATGATTTTTGTTAAAAATATTTTCTATGACTTTAGCCTGGATTTCTTCTTACTCTCCTTAGTCTGTACCTATTATTGGTAGGTTTGGTCTCGTCATAGTCTCCCGAATTTACTGGGTGTTTTGTACTTGGATTTTTTTAGGTTTAATGCTTTCTTTGACTTAACTATCCATTTATTCTTCTACCTTGTTTCCAACACTTGAAATTCTCTTTCCTTGTCTTTTGATGTTGGTGAGGCTTACCTCTGAGCTTTTTGTTTCACAGCCTGAGTTTTTCATTTCCAGGATTATCTTTCAGTTTTGGTCTTAGTTCCATTTCCTTGTTAAATTCTACTTTAATGTCTTGAATTGTTTTCATTATTTCATTTAACTGTTTTTGTTTCACATTGAGGGTTGTATCCTCTTTAATGTCCTTGAACAGATCCACGATTGCTGTTTTGGGTCCTTGTCTTGTGCTTTGCCCAATGCTTCTCTCAGGGCCTGTTGAGGTGGGGCTGCTCACTTTTGAAGGAGGTGTAAAGTCTCCGTTGCTCATGTTTGTGGTTTGTGCCGGCATCTGGGCATCTGGAGTTACAATGTTTGGGGTGTTTCTTGGTGTATATATCTGGTCTCATCTTTGTGGGTGGGTGTTCATTCTTTGGTTGTTTCCCAATCTGGATCCTAGCCAAGTGTGATGGCTGTCAGGTCCCTGATAGAGAGGAGTTCTGCAGGTCAACAGGAAGTGACAGAGGAATGGGGATGGGCTGGAAGGAAATGCTGAAAGGGGCCACTACAAAGAACTAGAGGGACGCCGAGTCTGGACTAAGAGGCCACGCCTGGAATTGATTTCCATAAGGTCCGAGGTCATAAAGGCTGAATCATATCTTTAAAGATGAATAGTTCACTGATCCAGCAGCATTGTGGAAAAGGCCACCATTGCCTACTTCTCTAGCTGCTGTGAAAAAAATACTCACAAAAGCAGTGTAAGCAAGGAAGGACGGGTCATTATGGCTCCAGTCTGAGGGTGCAGACATCACCGCAGGGGAGACACAGCAGCAGGAGGTGAGGCGGCTGCTCACACCGACCCACAGTCAGGAAGCAGAGAGAGGTGAATGCTGATGCTCAGCTCACTTTCTCCCTTTATTCAGTCCAGGACTCCAACCCTTGGATGGTACCAGCCACATTCAGGATGGGTTTTCCCTTCTCAGTTAAACCTTTCTGGAACCCCCCTCACAGATATGCCCAGAGCTTTGTTGCCTATGTGACTCTACACCTGTGAAGTCACCAGTCGAGATTAACTATCATACTCAGGGAGGGGCTCTTGCCCTTGCCACTGTTCGGGCGAGCGTGTGGATGTGGTCCCCTTCTCAGCTGTTTCCTGGGTGGCGAGTGGTCCATCCTGACTCACGCCATGCTGCAGAGTCCATTTTTATGCCTGTGTTTCTTTTAGCATTGCCCTGTTATTTTCAGTGCAGAGCTGGCCCCCACCTCCTCCCACATTTATTCCTGGGTATTGGTGGTTTTGATGCTTTTGCAAACAGTAGGTTTAAACTGTTCATTTTCCAATTGTTGTTGTGATGCCTCCAGCTGCAGCAGCTGCTGCTGCTGCTGCTGCTGCTGCTGCTGCTGCTGCTGCATGTGCTTCTGGCCGCAGAGTCCGAGTCAGGCCATGGCTTTTCCAGAGGCCCGCTGGGGGTGCCTCGATGATGGTTAGTCCATGGCTTCTTTCCCATGTGCTCACTTGCTGTTTGGGCCTGGGTGTGTTTACTGGAAACCACACCGGTGAATGGAAATAAATGTGGACCATGTACACCCGTCCCCTTCCTAACTGTGTGGAGGCTGCTCTGTGTTTTGACGGTCCTCTCATCATTCAGTGTATCTTCATCATTTGTCTGTGTGTATGTGCACACTCATGTGTGCACGTGTGGACATGCATGTGGACACAGGAGAACGACTTTGGGTGTCGTCTGCTGCCTTGTCAACTCCTTTCGTAGAGACCGGGTGTCTCACTGGCCTGGAGCTTGCGAAGTGGGCTAGGCTGGCTGTCCCACGGGCCCTGGGGACCCACCTGCCTCCGCCTCCCAGTGCTGAAATTGCCAAGTGTGCACCGCCCATGCCTGACTTTCTTTTCATGCGGGTTTTTAGGATCAAATTCAGAACCTTGTACCAACCCAGCCAGCCACCTCCCTGGCTTCCACTGTAAACATTTTGAGTAGGGTCAAAGGCATTTCCCTCCCAGATGTGTGCAATCCTGCATCTGTTGAGATGACCTCATCAAGTGTGTCTTTTGTATAGTGGGGTTTGAACCCCGTTGGACAGCTATGTGTTCTTAGGATAACCCTTCGTGACTCCGTGTGTCATTTATGTATCACAGGGCTCTGTCCACCAGTACCTTCCTGGATGCGCTCATCAAGGACTGGATTTTTCGCTCTCCTTTCTGCCAGCGTCCGTGGGCAGCTGAGCACTGGAGTGGAGCCGGCCTCCCGGAGTGATCTAGGACCTGTGCACGGCTGGCTTCCTTGCTCCAGGAGTGTTTGCATAAAACATTAAATATTGGGGGAAACACACTGATATAACCAGGATTTGAGTTTCCTTGGTGGGAATCATTTTAATAACAGGCACTATTTAAAAAAACATTACAGTAATAATATTAAGTATTGCCTGTCAATTTTGATGAGCTGTGTCTTTAGGGGAATCTGCCCGTTTAAGTTACCAAGTTTATTAAAGTTATGAAGCATGTCCTCATGATTCAACTGCCTTTGTAAAAAAAAATTTCTGAGATCATTTATCTGGATTCTTTTCTTTTTTCTGTAATCACTTTGGTAAGACACACAGATAGTTTATGAACCCTTTTAAGAGGCAAAAGCCTGCAGCAGGATTTTCCTCACACATGCTCGTCTGTCTCCGTTTTACTGATTCTTCTCTCTCATTTCCTTCTGTCCGCTTTCACCAGCTTCAGCACTGGGGAGCTTCGATCCCTGGTGTCCAGCTCATCACTGCAGACGTCACCATTTCCAGACGTAACTTTCCCTATTAGCCCGCCTTAGCTGTGTCTCTCAGTCCTGACGCGCGGCTTCAGGTCAACCAGACCTGGGTTTCCAATGCCTCTGCATTCTCATGTGACTTGATTCACAGGTATCAGGCGTCATTTCCAAGCAGCCAGGCCACTTCCAGTCATGTTTATGTGACTGTATCTACCTTGACCCCAGGGTGGCCAGAGGCCACACTGTGAGCCACGGCAGCCATCGGGGTGAGGGAGACTGGACTTCATGAGGGGCACCTGGCAGCTCTGGCGACCTCCCACACGCTGAAAGGATGTGAGTGCCGCTGAGCCGGGTGCAGTGGTCTGTATCACTTGTCAATTAGGTCAGGCTGTCAGCTGCGACAGTCTGGGTTCTACCTCCTCGCTGACTTGTTTGCTTATGAAATCAGCAGCAACTGAGAGGCGAGTTAGTCTGCCTGTGTGTGGTGGGGCGGGGGGTAGGGCCTTCTCTCGGTCTTCTAGGATTCTGTTCCATGTAATTGGTGCTCACTTGGTACTGTAATGGCCTCTCAAGACACTGACTGTTTGGCACACGCCTGTGCCTACCCACCTGACCTAGGCTGACACCGTCACCAGCTCTGCCTGCTTCGTGGTTGCGTAGTCTACCGTTGCTTTCCCCTTTTCCTTCAGCCTGTTCCGATACGTTTGGACTCGGGGAGCATCTCCTTAAGTGTCTTACACTTGGGTTTTATTTCTCACATTCCGTCCGACTTTATTAGCCTTCTCCCTGGGCCCTGAGCCTGCTCGAGGCAGCATTATTTCTGAAGGTTTGGGTCTTAACTGTCATCTCGCATCTGCTTTCTGTTTGACTCACCTGATTCATGCTCCGTTTTCCTCGCTTCTCGGTTTCTTTGAGATTAATGCAGTCTTTTTGCTATCCCACTTCCCCTGCCCTAACTTGCTAACTCTGAACACTTTCACGATTTGGGGCGGTTATCCCGGAGCTCTCAGCACTCAGCCTCGGCTAATCTGTAGCAGCTCCACGTGAATACAGACCTGGCCAGTTTCCAAGGCTGCTGCTAGAGCGTCCCAACAGTTAACTCCATTCACTCCACACCCTCGTGGCCGCAGCATTGCACTTAAGTCCAACAGACCGGCCTCGCCAGCCTCCCCCATTGTTGTGGGGCACGCACAATGCCTGTCTCGATCGACAGATGCACCTCCCCACCGCCCCTCATCCCTCCTGACATCTCCTGTTTCTGCTGCGGATTATTATCTCCCGTTGGAAGAACCTCTTTCAGGATGTCGTGAGTGTGAGCCTGTGGTGGTGAATTCCTGCTTGATGGCTTCCCGGGCGCTGCTTCGCCTGGAGGCTCTCCGCTGATGGGGCATCCAGACAGGCAAGCTGTTTTATTTCAGCACTTTAGACTGTCACCCCACTAGCTTGCAGCTTCCGTCTCAGCGAGAGTTCAGCTTTCAGTCTCATTTTTTGCTTTTGAAAGATAATGATGTATCCTTTTCTCGGGCCTTCTGGACAGTCCCATCCCCCACCCCCATCTTGGGGTTCACACCCAGGCCTCAGCGCAAGTCAAGCCCTCTTCTCCTAAGTTTACCCTCCAGCCTTATAGGGTTTTTCTTTTGTTTCCAGTGGGTTTTTCCAGAAGGTGTCTGGGTGTGGTTTTCTTTGTTTTGATCCTGCTGGGGCTTGCAGACCTTCCCACATCGGGAAGCCAAGCCTCCTCTTGGTTTTAGAAGTTCCTAATGGCTATTCCTCAAACATGGCTTGGCCACTTTCCCTCTCTCCCTTTTCGTGGGCCGCAGCTGCACCTGCCCACGTGGCAGGGTGTTTCGTGGCAAGCCACTCCGCTCTGCTCCTCTACGAGCCGTACTCGGATGCCTTCTGCTCACGTATCCTCCAGTCTTTAGCCCAGAGTACCACTGCATCTACAGTGCTGTTTGCGCAGGCCCCACGGGGAAGTCTTTAGCCCAGTTGGGGATGATCTCAGGAACTGGTGAGATCCAGGTCTGACTTCATGCTTTTGCACACAAACACCCAACTTTCCCAGCAGTGTTTGTTGAAAAGCCTACCCCTGCCACCAACCTTAAGCACAGTTGTTGGATGCCATTTGGTGGTAGATATACGGCTTCCTTCTAGGCTGTCGGATCTGCTCCAGTGTCTGCATCTCTCTCTCTTTTTTTTTTAAGCTAACCCCATGCTGTTTGATGGCTACAACTTTGCACTGTATTCTAAAGTCAAGTGCAACGCCTCCTGCTCCATTCTTTTTGCCTAAGTGACTTTGTGCCCTCTGAGGGAGCTGCTTGGGGTTTATTTGGTTTTTGTGGTTGCGGTGGGTCCATACACATTGGGGGGATTGTTCTTCCTTGTTCTGTGAAGAGTCCCACAGACATTAATGTGGGGACTATTGCGTTGACTCTGTGGGTCACTTCAGATCCTTGGAGAAGCCCTGACAATGGGGTGTTCACCTCCCCTCCACGTGCTGTTCCACTTCTGTCTCACACACTTCATGCTTTTTGTTGCAAAGATCTTTAATTACCTTATTCTTAATGGCTTTGTTACTGATACAGCAAGGAAAATCAGTTTTTACTTGGGCGACTTGTCCTTCAGTTGGTTCAGGGCTGGCAGAGGGAAGAGCCGCTGACTTCCGCGTGTTGATTCTGTGCCCTGAGCCTTTGCTGGACTATCTTAGTGTAATCATTTCCAGTAGTGTCTACAGGGGTCCGTATGTCAGACCATGCCGTCCGCAAGGACTAACGTCGTCACTTTTTCCTTTCTGGCTCAGGTCTCTTCACGTCTGTCTGTCCCCAATGAACTTTCCTCGTCATGCTGAGGAAGAGTGGAGACACTGGAGTCCTTGTCAGGTCCCGCTCTCAGATAGAAGCTTCCAGGTTCCCATCCTCGGTGTCACAGCGGACATACGCTCGCTAGGTCTAGCTTTTGTTGTCCCCAGGCACATTTCTACTACATTTACTTTGTTCTGATGGTGAATCTCATCAAATGCATCCCTTATATCTGTCGAGACCATCATGTGGGGTTATCTTCCCTTCTGTAGATAGGTTACACTGTATTTATTGATTGGTATATACTGAGCCATCCTTGTCTGAAACTGTGGAATTACTAGGAGGAAATATAGAGAAAAAATTCAAGATATTAGTTCAGGCAATGTCTCTTTGATGATGACCCCAAAAGCATAGAAAATAAAATAGAAAATGGACAAATGGGATTGTGTCGAACTAAAAGGCTTCTGCACCACAAAGGAAGCAGTCAACAGCATGAAAAGACCATCCTGCAAATGGAGAGAAAATGCCAGCCAATTATGCATCTGATGAGGGTTAATGCCTAGAATATGCAAGGAATCAAATAACTTAATAGCAATAAAAATCCAATTTGAAAATGGGCAATATTCCCAAATGGATGACCAAAAGGTACCTGGATAAAAAAAAAAAACCACCTTCAGTATTAGGGAAACAGAAATCAAAACGACAGTGAGTCGGCCCCTCACGCATGTCAGAATGGCTGTCTTCGGAAAGTCACAAAAGGACAAGCAACAGCCCAAGTGTGGGGCCGGGGAGTGCTCGCACCCTCTGGGTAGGGGTGTGAGTTAGCACAGCCGGTATAGAACACAGCATGGAGGTTACTTGAAAAATGGGCAGCAGCACCCCACATGACCCAACAATCCTTCAGTGGGTATACAGCCAAAGGACACCCGCACATCAGACACTTGCACCCCCAGGTTCATCACAGTCGCCTAGAACTGGAAAGACCCCAACTGTCCATCAACTCATGACAGGCAAAGGAAACATGGTACACACAAGATGAGACGCCACTCAACCCCAGAGGAAGGATGCGAGCCTGTCATCTGTGCCTCGTGGATGGAACTAGAGGTCCTTGTGTTAAATGGAACAAGGAGGGAGGCACTGAGAGACAAGCCCTGCATGATCTCACCCATACAGAATGCTTGAAGTCCGTCTCATGATGTCACAGAAACTGAGGAGTTCCCGGAGGCTGGAGAGTGGGGTGGGGTGTGTGGGGGAGGGTGGAGGTTGACCAGTAGGTACTAAGTCACAGTCAGACAGGAAAAATAAGTTCTGGGGTTGTGTGGCACAGACAGCACATGGCAGCAGTGTCCTATGTGTGTCCCCAAAACTGTAGCAAAGGGTTTTGAATGTTTCTTCCACGAAGAAGCAATGAACTTTTGAGGAGATAAAAATTTGTATGCAGATCTGAACATCACACAATGTACACATATGTTAGAACACCACGTGATAGTCTATAAATATGCACAGTTTGTGTGTGTCAAAAATTAAAAACTTAGATAATGTTGCTAAATCTATCTACCGGTTTCCTTCTCCCTCCCCCTCCCTTCCCCTCCCTGCCCCCTCCCTCCTCCTCCCTGCCCCCTCCCTCCTTCTTTCCTTCCCTTTCTTTTGTGACAAGACCTCACTGTGTAGCTCGAGCTGGCTTTGAACTCCAGCTGCCCCCACACTGGGACGGCAGGGGTATGCTCTGCCATGCCCATACCATTGGTTCTCTTATTTTAGAAATCTGGAATTTCCGTTTAGCTCTTCAATTTCTTTGGTAAATGTTTTCCCTCCACAGATTTTCTCACCTTTGCCTCTCTTTTCTGGCTATTTTAGGATCCTTCTGTAGGAGTTCCGAATGGACGTCACCACTGACCTGTCCTCTTGCTGGTTTCCTTCTGGCCCCGGCTCTGTGTCTCTTGGCATTCTGGCATGGTTATTATTGGCGGCTGGATGCAGCTTTATCTCTGCCAGGAAATGTGTCCCCACCTCTGATGGCTCAAGAACAGGGTGACCCCAGGTCCAAGAAGGCTTGTGCAGAGGGGCTCTGTAGAAGCTCAGGCGTGAGCCCCAGTGGCTTCCAGGGTCTGCACTGGCATCTTGGTCTTCTCAGCAAGGACAGGATTCAGGACCCTAGTCTGCTCCTCAAAGGTCTGGGGCTTTGAGTGTCTTCCCCACTGTGCAGCTAAGAGCCCCAGGAACCTGCTGCCCACTTACGTCACTGCTGATCCTGGCACAGGCTGAACCACAGTGAGAGCTCTCTCCTCCTGTCTGCTCTGGCCCATGAAGAGATGCCCACAGAGCACACTCACACCTCGTAGGTCTCCCCTGGCTGGCCTCCGGGTCCCCTGGCTGTCTCTTCTCTCTGATGTCACCGGAAGCAGCTAGCTGCTCAAAGGAAGCCAGAGGCTCAGAGGAGGTTTGCAGGCTCACACGTGAGCCACTGAAAGCCGTATCGGGACTACTGAAGTGTCCTCTGTACAGGTCACAGAGGGCTGGGTGTGCTGTGGTCCCCTGGACTCCAAGTCATGACAGCAGGACACTCGTTAGCCTACCCCACGTCACGGTGGCAGGCTGTTACGTCTTTCCAGGACCCCGAGAATTCAGCCCTCTTTCTGGACCACTGATGGCCACAGGAACAGAGGAAGGAGAACCCGGTGGACATGGACTGGGTCCTCTCCAAGGGGATGGCACAGTCACCGAAGCTCAGTGGTCACTGTGCAGAACGAGACACCGGGTCCTACGGAGTGCCAGTGTCTGGGCCCTGCCCCCTGTCACCGTGTTTGTCAGCTAGGACACTCCCTGTTGCTAGTCTGCCAGTGGGACAAGGGCTCATTTCTTTAAAGATTGCGTGTCCCTGGTGAGTGACATCAAGTGACTTTTTATTTGTTCCGTGGATTTATGGGGAAACAGGCAGCATTTCAAGATTAGAGATAAAACGTGACCTGTAAAGCGCCTCTGGGTTCTCCGTTCTGAACAGTAGGGACCGCACCTCAACACCCTCCTTACTTTTACACACTTCCTCTCTTCATGCTAGCAGTGCTTTGTGAATTTCTGCCACGACTAGGTCCTGCAGGTTTCCTGATGTATCTAACAGTTTTTCTGTGTGCATTTGTGTCAGAGGCTGAGCACATACAGGTTCAAGCTTGTCACAGCTGTGCTGGGTCTGATACCTACCTCAGTTGACATACGTGATTTGCACCGTGAGTCATTTGGACGGAGGTTATCTTCGTCACTCCTCTGGTCATCTCGTCTGCGTTTGTATCCATCCTTTGTTCTTCAGCCACGAATCAGAATTTATGAAATGTCTCTGTAGACAGCACATGATCCGGACTCTGATTCCAAATGTGACCTCATTCTGCCCTCCCGGTTCGACTGAGCAGAGCCAGGCTCTGCTCCGCACCCCGTGGCTGCTGCATCTCTGATCCCTGCCTTTCTCTTCTGCCTTTTAATCTCAAGTCAATCAGAAATGCATTCAAGTCTTTTTTGTGCCTTTAGAAAAACAAAGCCAAATCCCTTCCTGACAACACACATGTTTCTGGTGTGTGTGATCCAGGCTGTGTCTAGATCTTGTCCCTCCCTTTCTTCTCGGGAACTCAGAACTCCACCATCCGCCCCCTGAACTCTTTGATGCTGGGCATTGCTCTGGCGTCCTCACCTGCCTGTTGTCCCTAGGCCGCTTACATGTCCCGCTGCAGGTCATCAGTCCTCATCTCTGTCCCTATCACACGGCCATGGTGAGCCACAGCCTTCCCCATTCCACTTATCACCCTCAGCTCTGTGCCCCAAGGTCCCAGTTAGACTCAGGACAGGCCTCTGGCCTTAGCTGTCTGTGTCGTGAGTGCCCGGCTCTAACTGGGGCTCACATTCGTCCAGACCACAGGCGGGTGATTCTGCTCCCCTTCTCCCCTTTCCTCCGAAGTATGGTGCCAACTTGCTTCCTGTGCATGGAGCTACTGTGAGTAGCTGGGCAGAGCCCCACAAAGGGTGGCCCTGTGGATCCCTGGGATGTTAGGAGCACATTGATGGGTTGTGAGATGTCAGGCACTCATCCAACCAGCTGAGTAGACTATTTTTAGCCTCCGAGCTCTGCCTCACTCTATAGTAAATCTGAATGCCCTCAAAAACTGCCAAGTGGAGATTTCCTGTTGTAGATCTTTGGTGACTTACTTTGTGTCTGTGCCTATGAGTGACATTTATCCCATGGTGACAGTTGTGGGCGGCAACTTCTCCCGAGGAAACACTTGCAGCCACCTGCACTGTGACTTTCAGGTCATCGGAGTTAATCACCTCCAGTCCAAGTTCTTGGATAACGGCCTCAACCTGCTTCTCTCGGCTTGGGAGATGCACAGAGATATCCACAGCAGAACGGGGACAAGAGCAAGCAAAGACCTTGGCTACACTGTACCTTAGTGACTGGCAGGCGGGTTGGAGGGTGGAGGTCATGCAGGCCCTGGATCTTTGTCCCGTGTCATTTACAGGCACCGTGACCAGCATCACCCCGTCCCAGCAGCCCTGCTGTGCTGGGGTTCCACTGACCTGCTGCATTTCTCACCACCACGGTACTCTGTAGGCCTTTGATGGAAGCTGCCTCTGCCAGGCTGCAGGAGTGCTGGGACCCAGCTGCTCATGTGGACCCTGCATGTGGACGCACTTGAGAGAGACATTGAGTCTTTGATGTGAGGCCTGGTTCTTCAAGGCAGATGTTTAGCCAAGCATGTGATGCCAGCAATTCCATGAGAATACTCTCCTGGGGAGGGGGCAGTGGGAAGAGGGACGGTCCCTACCTCAGTCTGGCCTCATGGGAACCTCAGGTGCGACACTTGACTTCAGGGTCTACCTACAAGAGACCAAGAATGGACATGGCTCCCTGAGACCCACAATGGAACTCACAGATCCCTCCTGCTGCCCTAAAGAAGCCAGAAGCACCCAGGGGAGGGAGCAGCTACCTAGGAGAAGGAACAGATGACACTGGTGAGTGCCACCGGCAGGAAGACCCACTGGGGGACAATCCACTCCACAGAAGTGGCATCACACTGCAGCTCTGGCCTCTGTCACTCACTCTGGACTTGGCCCTGAGCAGCCTGTGCCCCTGATTTCCTCGTTCACCCAGGTGCTGGCTGAGACTCATTCTGTGTTGCTTGGGGTCGACAGCAGTTCCTGGTGTCCTGAGTGTTCTGGAAGATGCTTTCTGTGGCTGAGCTTGAGTGACAGTTCTATTCTGTTCCGAGTGCCCTGGTGGAGAACTCTGGCTAGTCCATTCTTTCCCTGAGGTGTGGTGTCCGCTCTTTGCACTTGGCTATTGGGTGAAGAGTCTAGAATGTGGACTTCCCCTGCTGATGACTAGGACTGCACCTGGTCCAAGACCATGTGTCTTTCCCCGGCAGACCCTGGGTCTGTCCCCAGGATCTGCTGTTAGACCACTGTCCCTGATTTTTGAAAAATTAATTTTGCACGTGGTCATTTTTCCTGTATGTATGTCGATGCACCCCACAGATGCCTGGTGTCCACGCAGGCCAGAGCCAGAAGTCAGACCCCCTGGAACTGGAGTTGGAGATGGTTATGAGCCACCAAATGGCGTCCTCTGGGAGAGCATCCCGTGCTCCTCCCTGCTGAGCCATCTCTCCAGGCCTCTCCTGCTCTTCAGCTTCACATCAGCTCTGTCTGAGTCGCCCTTTTATTCCCTGCCTTCCTCTGGGAAACTGCTGACTGGGTGAGCATTGCATCACTGTCTTTGTTTTGCTTTTTTCTCTTTTCTCTGTTTGATTTCTTCCCCCCCGCCCCATGTTTCTCAAGCCTAACCCTTCTCCTGCTCCAAGTCTTGGGAGATGTCTGTCTGTCTGCCAGAGTCAGGTGTGGCCATTTACTTTGCTTTTCCATTTGTTTCTTGCTTTGACCTCTATGCTGGCGCCTCACCAGGCCAGAGCATCTGTGTGCACCGTCCAGCCCACACCTGAGGTGCCCACAGCGGCCTAACTGCAGGGCAGCACTATTGTCCGCATCAGGACCGCGTCTGCCCCGTATTCTCCCTCCCCACACCCTACGAACTTCCCTTTAACGTGTCTCCAGGCTTGACCGATGCCTTCTGGAGTTAGGCAGTAGTTTCCAGATGTGCTTTCCACCCAGCAGCCAGAGTGACCCTTACAAGCAGGTAAGACACAGCCCGCCCCGTATCCCCTGACTCTGATTAAAAATAAAATCCAAGTTGCGCAGCACCTCCAACCCAAAGCCTCCGAGGGTGCCCCTCCCCCTCCCTGTACTTTTTCCTGCCTCAAAGGCTCCTGGGGAGCTGCCCTGGCACCCCAGCTGTTTACCACAGCCGGCTTTGCACTCGAAACCTCTGAGGTGGCCATTCATGCGACATTTCCCCCATCATGCCCTCCAGCCCTAGTCCAAAGGCTTCCTGCTTGACGATCTCAGATTGCAGCTTCCTAACATAATTTCTGGACCACTTCTCCCCAAATGTTACCTGGCAGGCTGTTTCCAGCTTCTTGTTGAATGTAGACACTAGCCCCATTTTTTCCACTAGACAATATGAGCCATTAAATTAGCTTTGTCTTGTGTGGGGCGGGGAATTTCACTCATCACTTTAGCCTTGGGGCCATTTCCTGACACCAGTCAGGATGCAGAACTTGCCAGAAGATTCCAAAGCTTCTGATGCTATGTTTCCAGGATCCTTTAGAGACATCTACTCTGCCAGTGCTAGTTCTAGGCATAGCAGGGCCGAACAAGGCAAGGTCACAGATCGGCCCTTTGTGGCTGTGGAGCTGTGGACAGCATCCTTGGGTAGGAAGCGACCGGTGACTCCAGCCCACCTGCCTAGCTGGGCCCAGATAAGGTTGGGTCTTATCTGATGGCTGAGCCGCCAGGAAGATGATCTGCCCCACCCACACCGACTGACACCGGCTTCTCTGCTCTCAAACAGCTGAGCAGAGCTGCCATTTCCCCCTGGGGTCTGGCAGACTGGCATGAAGCCTGAAGGCCAAGAACGTCAGCCTAGAAGGCGGGGGGTGGAGGGCTGTCAGGTGCATGGCAGGCAAGGGAAGAAGCTCAGCCAACGAAGAGTCACCAGCGGGACTGCCGGGAGGTCTGAAGGTGACCACAGGGGCAGCACTCTGAGGCTGGGGGTCTGCAGAGCGAGGCTTGTGTTCCTGTCTCTGCTTCGGAAGTGCCTACACCTGTGCATACACACGCACGTGACACGCACGTGCAACACAAATCTAGGCACACATAGATACATGTGCACACAGGGAAGATGGGCCAGGAGTTCTTGTAGGAGGCTTGGTCCTAGATATGCCATGGGCTCAGCAGTCAGTGGGTCCCGGAAGTCCATGCTCTTCGTCTGCTCTCTCACTTGTCTGTACCGTGGAAGCATCCACCCCTCAAGGTTCCTGGGAGCATTAAAATCATTCTCAAAGTAACTACCACTGGTGGGCACATCACCAGGAGCCGTGTCTAGCATGCTTCAGACTGTACCCAATTGGTTAAATGAGGCAGAAGGCACCTGGGGACCATGGCCACAGCTTGAGTGCCCAAGAGCTTGTTCCATCCTCAGCCACCAGGGAACCCAACTCAGCCTATCTTTCTTGTTGGGCTGCTCTCAGCAGTCTTCTGTTTTCCTCTGTGCCTCAGTTTCCCCACATAGAAGGGCCTTCTTGGCTCTGACTGTACTTTGGCCTGCAGGCTCCAGCTTCACTTGGCTCCCTGACTGACCATGCTGGACATGGAGGCCAGGCAGAGGTGGTCGGCCAGGTTGTAGATTCCTACAAGCCTGATTCCAAGGTTGGGATAAGAGCAGGGAAATGCAGAGGGCGTGGCACAGGCACCCAGGAGCTGGGGTTTTCCCACAGATGGAACAAGGCCTGGCAGAGATGGCCCAGGGCCCAGCCGTACCTTGCGGGCCTGGGAACCACTACGTGTGAAGCTGGCAGTGACGAGAAAAATCACACTGGAAGCCAAGTGCTGGCACCAAGGTCCCGCCGCGCCTGGAGACAGGTAGGGTGTGGACTCTATTAACGCTGTCGCAAGCCCAGACACAATTGAGTCTGCGGCTCTCGGCTGGGCTGGGCAGCACAGCCCGGCCAGCCATGTAGCTGTCGCAGGTTTCCAGACCAGCTACAGGGAGGGGGCATGTACCGGGAGTGAATGAACCTCATTTGACTCACAAAGCTCTGCTTCTACCTCAGTCCACTCCACCCGCCCCGCCCAAGCTGACACTAGTTCTGGTCCAGACGCAATGACAGAGGCGGGACGAGGGTGAGGGAGCAGGTAGGAGAAGAGCTGGACACGGCTCAGGTCTCCTGGGCATAGTCCAGGTCTCCTTTCACATTGCTGGTAGATGCCAGCGTTGACTACTCTGAGGTCATTGAGGTCACTCCAGGAAGATGCTCCACCCAGCAAACAGCAACCTTACCCCACACCAACAATCATTCCAGGTAAGGGGGTTTCATGGATCCCATTAGTACCGCAGGAAGCAAGAGGATGCTGTTCTTCCTACCTCCTGTGACGGCAACTGGAAAGCAGAGTGGTGCTTGCTAGGGGCAGACCTCTCCACTACACACTCAGACCATCAAGGTGCTCCTCCAAGGGACTGGAAACATCGATGCTCCTTACTCGGAAGCACACTCTGAGAGTGTCTCCATAAAGCCAATGGGCTATGACTGAACACAAGCAAAACTGCCATGAAATGTTATTGCCTTGCAATGATGGCAGCGGCACCGGATGGCACTGGGTGGCGGGCAGCCAGCTGCAGGAGCAGATGCTCCAGCCAGCCGGGACAGGGACAGCCCCCACTGGGTAGACATTGGGTGCCATGGCTGCTCCCCATCCCCTTCAGTTTCCTCCAGTTTGTTGTTTTGAAGTCACATGCCGCTGACATTCCCAGCCTCTTCCTGGCCCCCACCAGTGATGCTAGGAGCTGGAGAAGACTCCAGAAGCTGCCTGGGATTCATCCTTCACCCTCAGGTGGGTCCTCCCAGACCACATTCCCTGACCCCCACAGGTGAGGAGGCTGTGTTTCCATGTGGGAGCTACTAGCTCACATGCTGGATCCTCAACTTTTCAATCCGAATATGCAGAACCCCGAACCGGCATCTCATAACTGATGGCCTCAGAATTGTTCTGAGAATGCCAGAAACGTGGATAAGGACTCTGGTCCTGTGTGCTGAGGCTCCACATGACTCCATCAGTATAGCAGGAAGGACACCACTCCATGACACAGGTCATGCGACAAGGCCTTGCTGTCACCCACCTCATGGACCAGGCCTCCCAGGCTCAGTGTGGACCTGCATGTGTCCCAGTAAGAGTCTGGGTCCTGGGCTGTAGACCAGCTCTCCTTAGCCTTCTAAGAGATGCTTCTGATGTCCCTACAGAGCACAGTGGCCTGTGTAACTAGGTTCGGAACCCTGTCCTCTTGAGTACATGGCATACCTATGAGATAAGTTAGCCACTGCCCATAGCCTGAACCTCAGTCACAGCAGGGTCAGAGGACTCACAGCTGAAGGGTTGGCTCAGGGAAGAATGGGCTGAAGCGTCCACTCTGTCACCTTGTCTGGGCTACGGCCTGCACAGAGGCTGTCTGGTGACCAGTTCAGTCAACTCAGCCCTGGGAAAACTAAGAAAGGCCTGGGGGCCAGATCTGAGGAGATGGACCAGATTGGGTCCATCGCAAGAGCCTCAGTGTCCTTCTGCACAGCAGGGCTGACAAGGGAATCAGACTTGCCAGGCTGCCATGGCAAGTCTGATTCTCTTCTGGAACTGTGCCTCCCCTCCTCCCTAGAGCAGCTGAGAGGTGAGAGTCAGCGGCTCCGAGAGCCACCTGGACAAGGCCATGGGCTCTGTCCCTCTTCAGAACCCACTGTAGGGTGGTCCCTGCCCCATTCTTGGACCCACATGGGGGACTGAACATGTTAAA